ACTTTTTGTCATTCATAAAATTTCTGAATGAAAACAGCTTGGCCTACTCCTGGCTCCAGGCTGGTAAAACTGCTAGAGTCCTCTCATGTCTGTCCCCTGTAGCTTTGTATAGCCAGATATTAAGGGGAAATTGAGTGGGCGAAAGGGGAGGATCCACAATATATTACACAATGAAGAATATTTCCCAGCCCTTCAAACCCTTAAAATAATCTGTAAGCAAGAGTGGATGATACTTTTTCTTAGACCACTTTAAAAATAAAATCATAAATACAGCCAGCTTTCAGCCTTATACAGGTCTTCATCAAGGTGACCATCACAGAGCTGTGGGTGGTGCTGAAGAAACATAAAAGATCCCAAAGTCGTGATTAGATGTGTGTGCCACACACGCAACATTTCAAAATCAAGGCTGCAAATTCTTAAAATAAGGATTTATGGCTAGAGGTTTGTTTTTAAAAAGATCTGGAAGGGCTGGTTCTCCACAACAGAATGTTTTAAGCTATCTGTCAGAAGGGTTTGACAACAACAAAATTAAAAACTATTGTTAGGGTTCAATAATAAATGACGAAATAAAAAGTAGAAGTCAAAAGATTATTTTTGCTTCTACTAAGTATTGTAGGAAAGCTCTTCCATTTAATTTTACACAAAAGTGCTTATTCACCACATTTTTCCACATTCCTTATTATTAAAGGCCTACTTATTCTCCCTGCATACACATTTCAACTTGTAGCTTAAGATCCTGGCTTATTCTGACATCTCGGCTTACGTTCCCTGAGAGAGAAACAATGACTTTGCATGTTGTAGGCTAAAGTCTTATGTACATCGGCCAAGACGTGGCTGGTTCAAACGGGGCCATTCTCTGGATTAGTTTTATTGGAATGGCGACAATTACTTAGTCCTGTGCCTGTTTGTTAAGAATTGTCCCACTGAGGCCACAATACTAGACTCCTTGACCCGCCTAGAAGAAGTTCCACTGAACTCAATGAACCTCGGTAAGCATCCGGCCATACTCACTCTCTCCATAGCCACACTCTCTGCACCCACCGTTGGCATGGGCTCGCCCTGACCTTTCACAAACTGGAATCTTGTCCTGGGCTGGAAAAGTTTCACCACCGCAATCCCTAGCCTTACACGGTTGGGGGCCGAAGGAGGTGTGTGCAGGACTGCAGGCCAATATTTCAGAGGGAATGCAAATATCCTTCAGCAAAGTTGAAGCTACTTCGGTTAAACATACATAGAACTCAACTGCAAACTAAATCACATCCAGTGATTTCAGAGGCAAAGCAGTTGCTAAGCATGGATGGAAGAGAGACCTCTTGTCGTCATCTCTCCACCTGCCCTACAGAGGTACTGCGGGCTGAAGATGTTTCAAGGGGTCGTAAGCCCCACTAGTTCATCTCAGCAAAAGCAAGCAAGAGTGAGTGGACCCCGAGAGCCTGACAGACGTTCTTCAGCATACATTTTCCAGGACTGAAGCCCACCCCATACATCCGGTGGAGCGGGTTGCAATCCCATGACAGCTCATGCCAAAGAAATCTCACTAACTGGGGACAGTGGAGGGGTCATGATCAAACATCTGGAGGGCACCATGTTGGGGGAACGTGTTCCAGAAATTGGGAGCCAATATCCTAAATCTAGTACATTTACATTATGGGATGCCTTCCAGGTTTGCACCCCAGCAAGTCTTGGGAGCATTTCCACTTCATTGTTCCCAAACCAACTGCAGCCTCATTCCCGGGGAGGCAGAAGAAGCAAGATCCCTCTGATCACAATCCGGTTTCCACTGCTGGAAACCCCAAACTTACGACCAGGTTTATGGGAGATTCCCCCCCCCATGGCTTTAATTTTAACTCTCTCCCCCCCCCACACACACATACACACAAGCTTACGTCCAGGTTTATGGGAGATTTCCCCCCATGGCTTTAATTTTAATTCTCTCCCCCCCCCACACACACACACACTTCAAACCACCACAACATCTACATGATTTGCCACTGGGTCTGCTTATTCGCCTCCAAACGGAGGAAGCAGAAGGGGAAACGGCAACCTTGCTCGCGAGGAAGTGCACGCCGCCCTCCGAAAGAT